TAGAATGGTTAGGTTCATACACTGTTTGAAAGTGGCAGTAAGCCCCAAGTGAGTTCATTAGTAAGCAAAAGCAGTAATCCATACAAAAAGAAAAAGTTGAGCTAAAAAAAAGCGCAAGTGAAAAGCAAAACGGCGCATAAAACGTCAAAAAGTATTGAAATTAGGATTATCGATCGGAGGCGCCGACTGCGCGCCAAGTACGCATCGTGCGCCAGAGCGCGTGTTGACGTTTTTCACTCTCTCCGCACGGTCCGCGCGGACCGCAGGGCCCGCATCGGCGCAAATTGAAAGCAGCCTAAGAGCGATGTGCGCGCTTCGCACGATCTCCCAGCGGTGGTCGTGGTGGGCGGACGAGGGCAGGGTAAAAGCAGAGAGTCGTACTCTCACATCCCATCATGCTCTCTTCTCAAATCGATCTCACGGTGAAACCTCTCATCCGCGCCCGGTCTGGACAGCTTGGACTCAGTCCTTTAAACAATATCCACTGTCAAGTCCCGCCACTTTCAAAAAGGGTCCACTGTCACGTGACACTGTTTGAAAGTGGCGGGCTTCCTTTGAACGTTGGGTCCCGCCACTATTGAGTCGCTGGTACATAGTTCGACTCGCTGGTACATCGTTCGACTCGCTGGTGCAAAGTTCGATTCGCTGGTGCAACGTTCGATTCGCTGGCGCAACGCTCGGATCCAGCGATTCGCTAGCGAATCGCTCGATTCGCAAACTATGACATCGGCCTTAGGCCAGTAAGCAAGATTTCCAAGAACGTGCAACACCGTAGTCTGGAAAACCCTGCTTAGTGGGCGAAAAGGCTGACAGAATGTCACTGTTCGCTGGACCATATCTCCACTTCAAAAGCACACTATTTACTGCAAAACCTGATGCACATATAGGACGATATATATTCGGATGGAGAGCCTTGTGCTCTTTTTCAATGACAATAAAGGTATTGGCTTCCCCATTTTCCTTACGGGGGTCTATTCCAGTTAGGGGGGCATCATGGTGCGGTGACTCCCAAAAAGCTACGGTAACTCCGAGCCAGGGGGAGTGTAGCCAGTCTAGGGGGGTGGGGGTGAGGGCAGTCACTTGACATGCGTGAAAAGCTGGAATGTTCGAGTTCACACTAGTCGCCGAGAAACTGCATCATGATGCCCCCCCCCCTAACTGGAATAGACCCTTTTACGATTTAGGGCGCGGCAGCGAGGAGCGCGTACGAGTCCACAGTGTCCGCGAACTGTGGTGGTGGAGCGTTTTCAAATTTACCCGCACAGTTCGCGGGCACTGTGGGCTCGTCTGCGCTCGCCGTGGCCGCGCTAAAAATCGTTATGAAAGTGGGGGAGCCAACGGTATTTGCTTGATAAGTCCATAAGCAAGTCGTCAATGAATTAGCGAGAGAGCATAAGGGTCTCATCCAGTAAACGGGGGGGGGTATGTGGTGCGGCAGTTCATATTGCATGAAGTAATCACTTTTTTCACGGCAGCGAATCTCAGGGGTAGGTGTGAAAGTTCAAGCAAAACGGTTCACGCACGCCGGAGATTCCCTTCCTTGCGAAAATTGGAATCTCTTTAACTGTCACACCACTTGCCCCCCCCCCTTACTGGATGAGACCCGGACATTAGCTACAGGGAAAAAGGTAACATCGATTGGAGGTCAAATCAAAGCACACGCACAACAAGCCAAAACAACCGTGAGCGGAGAAGTTCTGATGTAGGAACAAGATGTCACTAGAAAAGTGATGGAACAATTATTAAATCTGATCAAGCTTATGGAGTAGCAATAACGAAAATTGCGTGATAGCTTGGATGATAGTCAGCTCATAAATGAAGTAAGAAAGGTCCATTTGCGAAAATGTGCTTCGAGCTTTCACACTTAAGACAGGTATCAGAGTCCGCGACTAGAGAGGAAGCGTGAATAGTAGGAACCGCGACTAGAAAGGGAACGACGGAACGAATTTTTTTTTCAAGAAAATTTTTGGCACTATTCAACTATTACGACCCCAAAAACTCAAAATTTTATTTTTCGTCGAAACTTCGCCTATAGGGGTAATTCGGTGCCCTGATCACGAAAATGAGGTTCATTTTTGGCGCTGGCGCCATTTGGCCAAGGGTGTTTTCACCAAATTCGCTGTAAACTTGCACATAGGGGTTATTTGGGGTCCTGATCACGAATATAACATTCATTTTTCCTTTTAGCGCCTGTGTGCGCCTGTTTTCCGCTCGTCTGCGCCCTCTCACTGATCACCTCGCGATCGGGACTAAGCCTTTGAGGAGGAGAGTGCTCCGAAGTGAATAACACTTATCCTGTGATCTTATACGCTTTAACGTTTGCCACATGTTGACTGGTTCACCCACCCCGGAGTCCTCCCTCCTTCTAGGCTCAGTCCTAGGTATTATGTACAAGTGAGAGGACCCAGGAGAATGGAAAATGTGCGTTGAACGGTGGAAATGCTAAAAACGAATGACATATCCGTAATCAGGACCCTAAATAACCCCTATGTGCAAGTTTACAGCGAATTTGGTGAAAACACCCTTGGCGCCAAATGGCGCCAGCGCCAAAAATGAACCTCATTTTCGTGATCAGGGCACCGAATTACCCCTATAGGCGAAGTTTCGACGAAAAATAAAATTTTGAGTTTTTGGGGTCGTAATAGTTGAATAGTGCCAAATTTTTTGATAATGCTATCACACAAGAAATCCCTCTTGCGGCGACCTGTATTTCCCCAATTGCAGAGGACCTCAGCCAGCATCCTAAGCCCACACAACCATCGATTGCCTGCTTTCATACTTTGCGCCGGCATGAATGTGCGACATGCGAAGAAAATGCGAGAAATGGGAAAAGCGCCAGCCCAGCATGCTGGTACATGGTATTTAGCGCAGAGTCAGGGATGCCTCTTCGATCAAAGGCCAGCACAATGATGGAAGATACTGCGTGTTAAACATCATGCGCCAGCATTGGCCGATGTCAGACTTTGCGATTGGAGCGATTTTGCACCAATTGCAGGAGCGACGGATCGCTTGAGCGATGCGAGCGACGGGAGATTTACACCGCCGACCACCGATAATTCGGCGCCATCAGGGTAAATCTCCCGTCGCTCGCATCGCTCAAGCGATCCGTCGCTCCTGCAATTGGTGCAAAATCGCTCCAATCGCAAAGTCTGACATCGGCCATTCTAAACTGGTGTGTTTTGCATTCCCCACAAATTCCGCAACTTCAACACCGGCGAAGTACGATAGCCCTTAAAGATTGAACATCGAACTCTGCAATGCTGCCGCATACCACTACAACCTAGTCTATTGGGAGCTTTGAACGGGGTGATTTTATCTTCATCTTCCCGTTTCTGCAGTGAACAAAGTGTGTAGGTAGGGTTATCCAAATTAAATCGCCAAGCTAAAGCGCGTTGAAACCAGCGCATTCTATGCGACTACGCGCTTTATGTGCTCACGAACGTGATGTTTCATAGGAACTGTGAACATCTTGAACTACTCATTCAAGCACCGAGTAAAAGTTTAAGTTCCTCCGCTGGAACTTCATTGCGTGAAAGAATGCAACTGTGTTCTCGAAGCTATTGTAGGCTAGCGCTCCATAGTATTTGAGCGATAGGGGCGCATGAGTGCTTAGTTTTGACTACTGAAAGAAGCTGCTGAAAAACTTCCCAATTCAACCTTAAGCTCTTACTCTATTCGAATGTTTCTACTCATATCACCTCGGCTTTTAAGATCAAATACAGGTTTTCGGGCGCTCACATCACACGACCGCAGAATCGCAAACTATGGCCACGGCCTGAGGAGAGGGAAATGTTGCTACAGTGCACCCAAGGATCAGGGCAATGAGAAATGTTGCCTAAGCCCATGAGATGCCGTAGGAATGAGGCTCGTAGCACTAAAGAGCTCCGAAGTATTAGTTGTTCAAAAGTGAGATTTCCGTTGCACCGAAAGGAGCCTCTTCTGCCGCTCTTCTGGAAAACATTGCCGATTTATAGTGTTTCTGCTCCATACCACTTCTCCAAACCGAACGATTTTTAACGGTCTTTGAACAAACATCTTCTCCAGCAGGTTCTATACAGCCATACATACTTGAGATCAGAGTGAAGATAATTTTATAGATATCATCGCACATGGATAACCTACTGGTTTCACATGCAATTAGCATAGATAACCCAAAGAAAACTTCTCCTATGAACGAAATGTCAAAGAAAGGTCGAGGAGAGAATTGCTTAACTCTGCTAATGACTAATGAGAGCATCTAGTTTCACAATGAAGAATAACTGACTATTCAACTAGACAAAATTTTTTAAGAATATGCGCCGCGGCAGATTTACGGTGGAGCACGTTTGTTAGAAGACTGATCTGTGTTGTCTTTCCAGACTTTAGCCCATAATCTCTAGAGCCGTAATCTTTTAGAAAAAATATAGGAATAGTGAAAAAAGGGCTTCACTATAGTGCGATGTTTGATTTTTGTATGAAGCTCCCACAAAAAAAGAGTTACCACGAGATTTCTGAAAAATACGGCATTCTTGGCCTTCAAGGGAGGAAAAGGAGTATTGACAATCATCTTGGCACTTTGAAAGACCATGCTGGATTTGCATCTATAGTCTAGTAAGTGGGGTCGGCTAGCAGATTGAGCAGAATTATTGCGCTACATGGCGTTAGGGCTCCTAGCTATCAACATTACCCTACTATTTCACAGATCCATTCGTAGTACCTCCTTCCCCTCTTTTCTTTCTCTTGTTAAGGAACCTTTTTGAGCCAATATGTGCTAACATAGAATCGGAAGAACCAGACTAGAAAGCAGACTTCAAGTTGATTGCGAATGAAATCTGTTCCCAGGTATAATCTGATTGCTCGAATCGAACAATTTTGACCCATTGCCGATCAAGTGGTCGCCAAACGATCGTGTCAGGTTTTTATCAGTTGCTATCTTATTCTAGTTGCGTGATTCTAGTCATTAGAACTGTCTAGTTATTCCATATAATTTTGTTTGATAATACCCATTACTGGTAATAGTCATGCTTTCTGGCAAACTCGCCGTGGTTACAGGTTTGTCCCTACGTAAATGTTTATTTTCTCAGCATTTTGTTGTTTACTTTGTGTACAAACCAACGGCACTCATCCAGTAAGGGGGGCATCAAGTGGCTGCCCTCACCCCCACCCCCTGCCTACACTCCCCCTGGCGCACAGGTTTCTCGAAGTACGGGACCCCGTGAGCCAGGGGGAGTGAAGCCAGTCTAGGGGGTGGGGGTGAGGGCAGCCACTTGACGTTGCATCACAATGCCCCCCCCCCTTACCGGATGAGCGCCCAAACCAACTTCAAATTTCTCGATCCAACTACTTCCGTCATCATTATTCTGTTGGTTTAGGTGGAGCATCAGGGATCGGACGTGCCATTTGCCATCGTTTGGCCCAGCATGGGGCGAAGCTCGTCGTTGTTGACTTAAACAAGGATGCCGCTCAAGAAACAGTAAAGAAAATTAGTGAGTTTGTTACAGAAATTGTTGTTTCAATCATGTCATTTTACGGAGTGATCATTTTGTACTCCTACTGACTAGTATAGGGCGCCATTCGTTGCGGGACCCACTGCCTTAACCCGCGGGGATCCCATGCGATCGCGGTTGAATTCGAACATTCCAGCTTCTCACGCATGTCAAGTGACTGCCCTCACCCCCCACCCCCCTAGACTGGCGACACTGCCCCTGGCTCACGGATTCCCCGCTCCACATTGAAGGG